AAAACTTTAAAAGGATAAATATTTATCTTGAGCAATAGGTAGTTAGATATGTATTATCAGTTTGTCTTCTGATAATAAGAAAAATTGTTGCAAGTTTGCAACAAAAGTAGCATAGATATCACTAACTAGAAGCAGGGACCAGGGGAAAAGAGGTGTGATGGTACATCCCTGTAATCCCAGCAGCAGGAGGCTAAAGCTGGAGAATTGCAAGTTTGAGCCCAGCCTTGACTACATAAGATCTTGTCTCAAAATAGAAGATAAAAAAAACATAAAAAATAAATTAAAAAATAGACGATAAAAAGGGCTGAGGATGTAGCTCAGTGCAAAAGCCTTGGGTTTAATTTCCAGTACAAAAAAATAAAAGATGGTGGAGAAACTTGGAAACCAGAATTTAGAGTGTGCTTCTGTGACACCGTCAATAAGAAAGAGTGAGCTACAGAAAACCAGGAAGTTTAGGGACTCATAAATTTAAACAAATTTATTTAAATATTCCTGAAATAAACAGAAAAGTGCTTCATATGATAAGTGATCTGACTAGATAACCACAAACAAGAAAACCAGAGCACATGATACACTTGTTGGGTTACTTAGCAGTCACTAACAAGTTACCTTTTTTTTTCCCCCTTTAGCTTGCCAACAACATTTGCTACTTTGGATATTGATGGAGTAAGAAAAATTATTTTTGCACTACCAGGTAAGAATCATAGAAATTTTTTTCTGCTTTTTATGGAAAAATGATCAAAAACTTTCTGGGCTTCTCACATGACCAGTTCCTGATCGTATCATTGACTTTGGGATCCGAAAGACCTGGACTCAACATTACTAACAAATCACTTAAACCTTCTCTGAGGCTATTTTTTCACCTATCAAATGAGATTAATGCCCTGCTTCACAGGATGGTGTGAAAATCAAACCAGATACTCTCTGCCAAAGTACATTCCAAAACCTAAGATGCTAATCAAATGTTGGCTGTCATTGGATATTCCTAGAGCACCTGTCTTTTCCTTCCAGAAAATTGATCAGCTGTAATCACCACTCACTAGAACTACTATGCTCAAGGGTCTCTAGCGCTTTGAGTCATTCAGGTAAATATTAGATCAAAAACTAAGAACTAGGGCTAGGAATTGGCTAACATGTGAGGCTCTGAGTTTGATTCACAGTGCCACAAAAAATAAAAATACAAAGCTGCCTCTGGTCCTTCTCAGTTTGAGGTGGTTGCGGGGAGGGACAGTGGGAAGGCGGGAAGTGGGAGAGGACATCCACACTGGTGCAGGTGAGCTATATCCAACACTTCATCAACGTGACAGCCTCACCATCATCATCTTTGCACCCATGTGAGCAGAAACTCACAAGTTGCAAAATTTTACATGGATTTTAAAATTCAGTTTTATTATTTTTGGCCATGTATTTAAGGTCATTATGAACCATGACAGGTTTTGAAGCTGTTTAGAACTTTTATATGCCTACTGGTTATTTTTTAGCTTTTAAAAGTATCCTCTAATAATTCTGTCCTGGTTCCTATTTTTTAAGCACACAAATTCCTTCAGAATTAATGTACTTACTCTTTTCAGAGTCAAAAATCTCATAGGTTTAAGATTTTTATCTGTTTCTCAAGAAAATCTCAAAATAAAAATATGAAGAAATGGAGTCAAGCAGAACATTTTGAAACTAACATTTTTAAGCCCATATTAGCATAAAAGTGATACTCACCATGTAGAAAATGTTGAGGGAATATCTAAGTAAAATAGTCCTCAAAATGTATCTGTAGCATAAAACTCCCTCATCTAATTTAATATGTCCATGGTTACTCTGAAAACCATTTGATAAAGAAAAGCTACTTTGTCTGTACAAGACTTGCCTTAACCTGCAAACCATTAGTGATAGTATGGCTGTGAAGGTTATTGTGGGAACCTGTTTCACCATTATTAATGAAATGTTGTTGATCTGCCTAAGAAATTATGAAGTTAAAATCTGTCTTAAGTTGTTAATTTTACTCAAAACCTTTTCTGCTTAGACTGAATGAACCTAGAGGGCAGCAACAACTCACATGTTCAGATTACAGACCAGCAAAATGGTTCAGATTACATAGTGTTGAGTTTCTTTTAAGGGGTTTGGTTAGTTGGTTTGTTTGGTTTGGTTTTGGTTTTGGTTTTTGGTTTGGCTTGGTTTGGGCTGGGGATGGAACCCAGGGCCTCATGAATACTAGGCAAATACTCTACCACTGAGCTACATTCTCAACCCCTAATGAGTTTTTTTGTTTATTTGTTTGTTGGTTGGTTGGTATCAAGGATCAAACTCATGACCTTGCGCTTGCCAGGCAGACACTTGCGCTGCTGAGCTGAACCCCTGCCTAATGACTTTTAGTTTCTAAAGTATATTACTACTTTCCTTGAGTATACTATCACTAATCTTGACCCACTGTAATCACTTGCTATTTTTAAATTTTGTAGCACTATTATAGCAACACATATTCACTACAAAAAACTTTGGTGGGGCTGAGGATTTAGCTCAGGGGCATAAGCGCCTGCCTTGCAAGCAGGCAATCGTGAGTTGGATCCCCAGTACCGATAAAAATGGAAAAGACAAAAAAAAAAAGAATATAATCAAGAAAAAACTTTGGAAAGTACAGATAAGCATAAACTAACATTATCCATAATCCCCTACACAAAAATAATCACTGTTTTCATCTTTTTAGTATTCTAGTTTTTTATCTTACACAGAGCAGTTCCTTTTTTTATTTTTAATCCTTAAAGGTTTTTGTATTTTTAGTATTTAAAAGCACCAAATTATAAACCCTGCTTGGTTCCAATCTTGGTACAGCCATATAGCAATAGCCATTTATTGAATACAGCCTCAAGTGTAGACTTTGGAGTAATTCAAACCAACAGGTGCCAAGTGCTTCTTCTACCCAAGCAACTAAGACACAGACTGCACAGCAAGCTTTCTCATATGTGCAAGATATTGTGGGAATCAGAATGTCATTAATTATGGAGTTTAGCCTTTCTGTGGTCGTGGCACACTATTAGATGTTGATATTTCGGGAGCCTACTTTACACTAAATGACTTGACAGTACTGACTCACAGCCACTGAAGGATCACACTCTCCCTTGGAGCCTTTCAAAGCACCTCGCTCTACTTACCTATCACCCTCAGAGCAGTTCATTATTGAAAGTCACTTTATAAAGCAGTGATGTAGAAATTTTGAAATCATTGGTATTTTGAAGCAAGGGAAAAGTGATTGATTCTCCTTAAGAATCTACTTTTCTGTTACACAGTTTATTTTTCCTTTGAAATTATTAGTATCACTTATTACTTTCTACAATTTAAAAAATCTATTCTTGACGACCTTTGTGGGTAAAAAAGAATTGAAAGTATGACTTTACCTTATAATAGAATGAAATGTTCATTATATTTTACTTTGATGACGAAATTAGCGGCTCTTAAGGGAACCTAAAAAAGCTAATAACCCATTCTACCACCATCTATTGGTACACATATATGCATATACAACTTTATGAAAGAATGAATAAAATTAGAACCTTAGAACCTGAAAATCTTATAATCTAAACTCTTCATTTTGTAAATGAGTAAAGTCATACTCAAAAAGGTTTGAAACTTGCCAATTTTGTATAGTTTGATTAGCTATACTTTGTAATTTTTGGTACCAAGCTTATCTTACTATAATAGTTTTTAAATGCTTAAAAATAGAAGATATGTAAAGCATTTAAACTTCTTTAAAACTTTGCAAATTAAGGGACACATGCTCAAGAGTAGAATATGTACGTAGTATGAAGGCCTGGGTTCGGTCACCCTCGGTAAAGAGAGGAAGGTAAAGGAAGGGGATTCTTACCAGGTTAGTAATGGCTTTCAGTTGTCTGTCAGGAAAGTAGAAATAGTGTCCAACAGCTTCTAGGTATTATATTTTTCTGCATTGTGTTAGATGGCTCAAACGTTCACATCATCTGTGGCATTTGGTCAATTATCTGTATTGTCAGGTATGGTTGGATTCAAGGTGATTCAAAAGAAGAAGCACTAGTAGTTGGTCACTTTCATCATGTGATACCTGAAGGTGTGAACAGGTGTGACTGTTTGGCAGATTTTTATGTAACAGACTAAATAACTGCTTGGTTGACTTTCAGGGAATCCTGTGTCAGCTGTGGTCACCTGCAATCTCTTCGTTGTGCCTGCACTGAGAAAGATGCAGGGCATCTTGGACCCTCGCCCAACCATCATCAAAGCCAGGGTAATGTTTTCTAACGACTAGAAACCAAATAGAAGCCTGATAACAATTAAGGATCTGATTCTCCAACTGCCCAAAATAAGCATGCAAATTTTCCTATCAGTTTTTATGGCAAATGTGGTAATATTTTCCCCTCTATAACAGAAAATGGAGGAGAAAGTTTTACTTTTATTCCCTCATATAACTTCTAAAGAAAATGGTTTTTTGCAGCTAGAAGTTTATAAAGAAGTCCAGAGAGCAAGACTTATAACTCATTCTAGATTACTAGTAACAATTTTCTTGGCAACGTAAACTGCAATATCAAGCCATTCTTTTTCAAGGATTCTGAAGTAAATTCAGATATGACAGAATGTTATCATTAACTGACAAAAAGAACATGAAACATACAAGAGGAAAAGAAATATCAATAAATATTACTCTGAGAATACATAGAATAAAAACCTTTAGAAAATCTGGACTTTAGATGTTCTTAACATTGACCTTTTAAATATTGAGACTGGACTAATCAATAAAGTCATCTTTCCTTAAGATTTTATTAAAGAATCAGCTAGCTTTTTTCCCACAATCAGTAGTAGTCTTATTTAAAATGAAGTTAAAGAGAAAAAAAAAACCATCAGTGAATACAAGTATTCTGATCAAGTTGGAAGGTCAGAGTTCTAAGACTGAGGTTGAGATCACCAAACCAATGATACTGAATTTACTAACCTAAAGAAGAAAAATCCACATTGTTGTAGGAGAGACTTCTCTTTGACTCTGAAAAGTTTTTATGAATCCTTTTATTTATTTTTCACTGTAACATCCATCATCTCTTCCTTCAGACTGACTTGATGGCCTCTGTCCTTTCTGACCACATTGATGAGGTGATCTCTGTGACCAAGTTGACACTTGATATTGTTCATGTGCTGCCCATTTCCAATCAGTTTAGGAAACTGAGAACTCATCTAAGAATCCAATGCCTTTTTCTCTTACAGTTGTATCGTTGGAATTGTCAGCATAGGTCATCAGTATGTGTGGCTATTTGTCCCTTTTGTTTCTAACTCCATAAATCACCCACACCCCTTCACTGATGGCACTGCCACTTCAGTGCACTGCTCACACCCGCGAGTCATGGTAAATCTGACCTCTTTTCTCATGCAAGGTGCAGCTCAGAGACACCGCCTCCGACTGCTCTCCATAATAGATGCCACAGTTCGTTGCTGCTATGGGGTAATGGGATGGATATTAAAAGTTGTCTTGACTGTGGGCTGCTGGACTCCATTGTCACCATCCTGTGGGTAGAGCAGTATTGCATTATTATTAAACGATCAGCCCAGAAAATATGGTCCTTTTTATCAAAGCTTTTAGAAGAGCATCCATTTAGCATAAATTCTTCCTGAATAGTTGAAATAGAAATACTTCTGATTTTGAGTAACAAATAGAAACAGAACCATATGATTTATCAAATAGAATTATTGACTCAATGTTTCTACACCAGGACATTCTTTTTTTTTTTTTTTTTAGTTTTATGAAAAAATAAACTCATAATCAAATGGTAATAATAATAGTATATTACACTGATTATTGGGGAAGCTTTAGCATTGTTCATTTTGAGTTTTGGGGGAAGTTTGTGTGTTTGGGGGTTTTTTGTTGTCATTGTTTTTGGTTTTTGTTTGTTTGTCCATTTGAAACAAGATCTTGCTCTGTAATTCAAACTGGCCTTGAACTCACTATGTAACCCAGGCTGGCCTCAAACTCATGGCAGTCCTCCTTGCCTCAGCCTCACAACTTCTGGGATTTTTATCTTCTATCATGTTTCCTGCAGGTGTTCTCAGTTTCTTCCCTCTGAGACATTCCTATCTGTGTTAACAATTTGCCTTAGGCATGACTGAGAAGTGGAAAAGGAGAAAACACATTCCTCTCCCATGAATGGGCTGAATCCTGAGATCTGTAAGCCTTTTGGGTTTCCATCACACTGCTCTTAATTCATCTGCCTTTGTACTTCAATACTCCAGTGTGCACAGTGGAAGAACTTGTCAGATGCCCTTTGACTGATGACACAAACAGCCAAATACAATAAAGCATTTCAATAAAATGCTTGTATTTTAATTTGAAAATTGCTAAGGTATTTGGATTTACAGAGAGAAATGTGATTGTTGTGATATGATTAGTGACCATTAAAAGATATTACGGGATACATGTTACATGAGACTATAATGGTCTGTAGATTTAAAATATACATATTTAGCTAAGCGTAGTGGTGTTTGCCAGAAATCCCGGCACTCAGGAGGCTGAAGCAGGAGGATTGCAAATCCAAGGCTAGACTGGCTTATGTAGTAAGGTCAAACCAACCTGGAAAAGACATCAAAGTAAAATAAAATAAATTATAGATATTTAAAATGACAGTAATGCCCATGACTTACAAGAAATGCACATTGGTTTTTTATTTATTCATTTGTTTGTCTGTTTGTTCATTTGTTTTTGGTACCAGGAATTGAACTCAGGACCTTGTGCTTGCCAGGTAGGCACTTATACTACTGAGCTGTATCCCCAGCCTATACATTGGTTTTAACATATTAGAAAATAAGAATTAAGGGGTGGGGATTTAGCTCAGTGGTTACAAGCACCGGCCTGGTATGCACAAGGTTGTAAGTTTGATTCCCTGGAACAAACCAAAAAGATAAAAATAAGAATTAAAACTAGCTGGGCCTGGTAGTGTGCACGCCTAATCCCAGCACTCTAGGAGGCTGAACGGGACAAATATAAACCAAATAGGGGCAAGTTAACAAGACCCTGTCTCAAAGTTAAAAAAATTAAAAAGGGATGAGGATGTAGCTCAGTGTGAAGCCTCTGGGTTCAGTTCCCCGTCTTGGGATTAAATCTATTCGTACATACATAAATTTTTAAAAAATAAATAAAGCTAGGCTAAAGAACTTTGGAAAGTTTTGAAACCAATCCATTTCAGCATGTATATGAATTTAAAGTTATGGGGTAAGTTTTAGACAGATGAATTATAGGATAAATGTGCTGAAACCCCTCTGTGGTATACTAATGGAAACAATGCTTTGTAACTTTTATAGCACTTATCAAAAAAGTTAGTGTTGTAAATCTCTTTTAACCACTCTTTAGAAACTGGAACCAGACTCCAGCAGGGAGGCATACTCCAGCACTGTCCAGGGTCTCAAATGTGTCACCCTGGGCCTTTCCCCAGAACAGAATTCCTTTTGGACTTCTGTTTTCTTACAAACTCTCCTTCATCTCTCAGTCCCACCTGTTTCCCTGACCTTTCTGAACACACACACACACACACACCACACACCCCATCACTGTCATCAAACCTCCCACAGACCATTCCCCACAGACATTGAAGTCTTTGGCAGTTGTTTAATAGTGTTCCTCTCTACCTTACCACTGCCCAGCAGTTGCTTTACCTCCATAATTCTAAATTCCTTTTATTTCTACTTCAGCAATTCTCATATCCATCCTTTTCTTTATCCTAAACTGAAGAAATCACCATCTCAGAAATCTCAGAAATCACCAACTGTGGCATACCATTTAGGAATAGTGGCAAATTGCCCATCAGCACATGTAAAATCTAGTATAAAATTCACTCCTGTGGCCTCTACTTTTTTTCCTCAATCCATAAGCCCTCTTAGTTCACAGCTGTCTTCATCAAACCCAAACCTTGTGATGTGAGACAAATTACCACACAACTTTTTCCAATAGTCTCAACTTTTATTTCCCTCTTCCATTTTAACACAAAGAACCCACAAACTTGGCTCAATCCTCTTTCCTTATCCTTCACTTTTATTCCCAGATCACTAAGCACAACTAAAAGGAGTATACGTATCCTACTTTGATTATTATTTTATCAATTCAGTAGACCAAAGCGTACTTTACCTTTCTATATATTATAAACCAACTCTATTCCTTACTGTAATCTTCCACATCCTCACCAATTTTCTAAAACTACCCTCCCATCTACATCCCAAGATTTGAAGCCAAATAAGCCTGAGTTTGGATGATGGATCCAGTGTTTACTAGTATTATACTTTTTGGCATAATTAATGACTTCCCTTCTAATCTTGTCTCTTCATAAATCTCTTTGATGTCTAACTCCGATAATCTATCTCCAATTAAAATCCTTCAGTGCTTCCCATGATACCAGGATTAAATCCAAACTCCTCAACATGGCGTCGAAGGCCCTCTATCCCAAGGTTTTTCTTCTCCAGCTTCCTATCCCACACTCTGCCATCCCAAGCTATGTGCAACTTCCAGAATGACTGTGAAGTTCCTTACCCATTTCCGTGTTTCTTCTTCTTTATGGTTCTTTCTTTACCACCACCATTTTCTTTCATAGCTTGATAAATGCTACAGTTGTGAGACTCAGACATCATGTCTCCTATGAAGCCTTTCTCAAAGTCACTTTGAGGTTAGCTCTCTGTAAGAGGGAAAAAAAATCAGAATATTTTTCCTATTTAATAAATTTTACTGTTAGAGCACTTTTAGCTTCATAACAAATTTGAACAAAAAGAGCAAAGAGCTCCTATATACACCTTGTCTGTACACATGCCTAACCTCCTTCACATTCAACGTCTGGCACCTGAATAGTACATTTGTGACAACTGATAAATCTACATTTACAGATCATTACCTAGAATCTGCAGGTTGCATTCCAGTCCACTCTTGCTGTTATACAGTATAAGGGTTTTCACAAATGTATGATGCCATTGCAATATCGTATGGAATAGTTCCACCATTCTAAAAATCCTTTGTACTCTGCCTGTTCATCCCTCCCTCCAACAACCTCTGTCAGCCATTGATTGTTTTAGTGTCTCCATAGTTTTTTTAAGAATACCATGTAATTGGAATCATGTCATATGTAACCTATCCAGATTAACTTCTTTCCTTAGTGATATGCATTCACTTTTCTTTCATATATTTCTTAGCTCATTCTTTGTAATACTGAATAATATATCATTGTCTGACTATACTACAATTTATGTATATATTTACATACTGAAGGACATCTTGCTTACTTCCAAGTCTTGAAGTCTTGAACAAAACTGTTATAAACATCCATGTGCAGTCTTTTATGTACATGTAAGTTTTTACTTCATTTGGGTAAATGCCCAAGAGTATGATTGCTGGGTTGGGAGCTAAAATTGTGTTTTTAGTAAACCACCAAACAGTCTTCCAAAGAGGCTATAGCATTTTTGACTTCCACAGTCAGTGAATCAGAGTTCCTTTTGCTCTACATCCTTCTCAGCATTTTGTATTGTAAGTGCTTTATATTTTTGCCCTTCTAATAAATGTGTGCTAGTATCTTACTGTTTAACATGCAATTCTATAGTGACATATGATGAACATCTTTTCATATGCTTGCTTATTTTCCATTGGTATTACTCCTTTGGTGACATGCTTGTTCAGCTGTCGGTCCGTTTTTTGAAATTAGATTCTTCATTTTTGTATTGTTAAATTTTAAAAGTTATTTGAATATTTTGAATACATTCCTTTATTAGCTGTATGTTAGGCAGAATTTTTTCTCTCAGTCTAAGGCTTGTCTTCTCATTCTCTAGACTTCTCATTTTCATTCTCTAGTCTCTAGACTTTTTTTTAAACTAATCCTTACCAATAAGCATTTATATAAAGACTATAAAATGTACTATAGTAAATACACTTTTTGCTCTTGAGTTATTACTATGTTAGACAAATAGTGCAAACAAGAAATACTTCTAGACCACAGTCTACTACAGTCCAATTTCTAATGAATAAGATAAATCCTCAGAAGTGAAACATCAACTAGTTAAAATTCTTTATTCACCAAAAAGTATGTGTCTACATTGATGCAATTAATCATTTTTAAAGCATTGTGGCATCTAGTAAACAAGTGCTTTCTTAAAGCATTGTGATAGACCAGAATAATTATGTCAATACATTGATTACTAAAGTATTTTGGTGGGCATGGTGGTACACACCTTTAATCTCACACTTGAGAGACTGAGCCCCAAGGATTGCCACAATTTGAGGCCAGCCTGGGCAACATACTGAGTTCAAGCCCAATTTGTACTATATATAATAAGATTCTACTTCAAAAAAAAAAAAAGGATTTTATAAAGTGCCTCAAATCTAATCTGTTTCATTGCGAGCTGCAAAAGAAATAGCTCTTTGTAAGAACCTCTGAAAAAAATTGGTTGACTGTAAATTTGATACACAACTTCTGTTTATTAAATTTGCATAAATGTCTTCCTTTACACAAAACAGCAGTTTCTTTTTTTTTTTTTTTTTTTTTTGTCTTTTTCCTTTTTATCAGTACCAGGGATTGAACTCACGACTGCCTGCTTGCAAGGCAGGCGCTTATGCCGCTTAGCTAAATTTCCGGCCCCAAAACAGCAGTTTCTAAATGTTAATATCATAAAGCTTGAAGACACTTTAGCCATTATGTAACATAACCCCATTTTGTAGATGATGAACCAACAGGTATAGGAAAGCAAAATAACTTACTAATACAAAAGATTATTTGCAGTAAAATTAAAAGAAGAACCTAAGTGTCTGATATTCCAATCCATTGCTTATTACACTGTACTACAATGAACTAGTCCTGCAGTTGCTAGGGGAAAAAACCTTGTTGAAACACTAATAAATAAAGCAGTCACGTGAGGGCTGGGGGATGTGTCACAGTGGGAAAGCACTTGCCTAGCATGCCCTGAGTTCAGGCTCCAGCACTGCAAAACAGCAAATAGAATGAAACGTTCATGTGAATGGCTCTCGCAGTGTAGCACTGGGAAACACACACACACACTCACACTGACTTAGAGAGAGAAGCACGGAATGATTTAGGAATCCTACCAGTAGGTTACCCCTACCAGTAAATATAAATATAAATGTAAATGTAAAATAGTTTTGTGTTGAGAATAATTGTGTGATTAAGCACCTAATGCATGTAGGCTTCAGACCTTATCTTTTTCATCCATCCTTTCTCCCACCATAAACACTGACTTGTTAGTCTTCTTTTCTCTTTTCACCAGAGCTACTCAACCCTGGACTTCATGGACTAAAAATATAAGATGAAAGTGATGAAAGCAGCAGAATGCCAAGAATATTTTCATGCCCCCTACAGTCTCAGCTCAACCTCTAATTCTTTGTAGTTTTGAGGAATGACCAGGTGGCCGCGCTTACTTTCATTTCCTCTTTATTCTGTAGTTATCATGTGATGTAAAACTGGATCCTCGCCCAGAGTACCATCGATGTATATTGACTTGGCATCACCAAGAACCACTGCCTTGGGCGCAGAGTACAGGTTAGTCATTCACATTTGCAGGTGTCCCTATTCAGTCCCTCTAAAAAAGCCATCTGTTTATACTGAATTTTGTAATTATTATACATTTCCTTCTTTTTGAAAGGTAAATGAGCTAAATTATTCCTAAACAGTATAGCATAAAAGGGCAAGAGTAAACAAATAGTTCATTGATCCATCTTTTCTAAATAAACATTTGAAATACAAATTTAGAATTTCATAAGATTTTGATCTATTCAAGCAATGTTTTGAGTATAACTTTGGTTGTAGGAAAAGGACAGCCCTGTGGTTTTTTCACCCTGATATATGAAATAATTTATAATGTGATCCCTGTAGACTTTATTATGCTCTACATATTGGTAAAGTTTAAGGGCTGAAAAATCCATATGGGTAATTTAGAATTCTAAAGTGAAGAGAATGACTTCACACCGATCAGAGGCCTCCGTCCTCAGAACCCCTAAGAGAAAACCTTTTCCATCGTCCTTTCTCCCCCTGTACACACTGGCTCCAGCACCTTATTTCTCATTTCCCCAGAGCATCTCAACCCCTAGACTTCATGGGCGGTGATGCATGGAAATGGTAGAATGTCAGCATTTTCCAAGCCCACTGTGTTCTCTGCACAACCTCCACCACTGCGGTAGACTTCAGACATTTACGCACCCTCTCTAGTCATATTTTTGCCTAATCTTTGAAGCAACTGATGAAAATTGCATTAGCCTTTAAACAAAGGTCCTTTCAACTGCAAACATTGACTATCATAGTGGCTTTGCCATCCAAAAGACCTGCATTTAAACTGATCACCAACCTGTCTAGCAGGACCTCCAGCAGATTATCTAGGACCTTTTTAATCTTTTGAGAGTCAAATAAGATAATTAAGTAAAGCAACCAGTTCCTTGTCTGGCACTTAGTAAAGAAATGGTAGGTGCTGCCATTATTAACTTTATTAAAAGGCTTTGAACTTCTCTCAGGCACATGATATTTCAGGCTGAATTAAGAAGTGGTGTGACATTTTGAAATAAATCCTTATTTTACTCTTTTAAACAAGAATTTCTAATGTTTATTCTTAAAATGAGAAAGTGTAGAATACAGTTCGCGAGCTACTAAGGAAAGTACCATGAAGTCAATCATCTCTCTTTCTCTTGAAATCCTGCTTTTTGTTGTTGTTGTTGTTGGCTTTTGCGTCAGCAAAGTCTACGATGGCTTCAGATGTGCACACCACGATGCTTATGCTGCTGTAATAAGAGTGTTTCCTTCCAGGGAATCAGATGAGCAGCCGTCTGATGAGCATGCGCAGTGCCAATGGATTGTTGATGCTACCTCCAAAGACAGAGCAGTACGTGGAACTCCACAAGGGCGAGGTGGTAGATGTCATGGTCATTGGACGGCTATGATAGTCACTAGCAGGAGAAAGCGTTGATGCATGTCCACATATCACTGACTGTAATATGCAACGGTACAGCTAGTTTTTCTGATTTGGATAAAAGTTGATCTGTATAGTCAACATCTTGAACTATATTTCAAATGAATTTAAATACCTTTTAAAGAAAAAAAATCCCTAAGAATAAATCTTAACAGACAACTCTATTCTGATTATATCAAAGCAAATTTTTCCTTTCTTGCAAATTGCTTTGTGTGTTCAATGCTAGGTCCAATAGCGATAGCTTTTAGTAGACAGCGGTAGGTGCCTGCAGAACTTGTGTTTTTCTCATCTTTAAAATACAACTACTTATGCTCTTAAATCAAGGCTGTCTGCTTATTTATACTAGTGTAGGCAACACTTGGATTTCCCTTCTTCGTATGCTTCATAACTGCTTTACGGAGAGCTTCTGCTTGTTCTTTATCATATCTCTCGTGTTTATGTGACCGTGCCAAAAGGAGAGCGGTGGGGTAGAGGCCTGCCTGCCTCAGGAATGCTCCCTGCAGTGGCAGGGATGTTTCTCAGCCTCAGAGCCTCATGGCACAGTCCTCTTGGGCAGTAAATGGGTACCTTTTATTTGAACAAACAAACTGGGGGAAAATGCTTCCTTAAGTGCTGACAGCCTTTTTAACTGATACATTTAAAATTGTACAGAAAACAATAAAATAAAATCAAAGACTGATCTTGTACAGATATTAGTGTTACCAGCATTCATGTGGAAATCAAGAGCAAAGAGAAAATAATGTTAAACAACTCTGTACCATAACATTTTCTGTAATGATACTGAAACTTAATGAATAAAAAAATCCTTGATCATTATTTAAAAATGTATTGTGTTGGCGTTATTTTTTTAAAAAAAAAGATTTTCATGCCATTCTTAGAGGGATTTTGGATAAAAGTAATAATTAAGATGGTGTATCAAGGGGTAAGAGGTAAGAGGGAGAGTTGAAGTGTGGTATGATGTAACTATAATTTACCATAGTGTTTAGGAAAAATAGCATTCTGATCTACTGCATTGTGAACAAAATATATTAGAAAGCAAAAGAATCAGTAGTTAGACTGGTCTTTCAGATTGTAGCTGCACAGTAGTGAGCATGGTTAGAGGAAAGATGCTTTTTATAAAAAATTAATGCTGATTTTAGATGCCATAAAATCAAATTTGAAATTTTTATAGTTTTTGGAATGAAAGAAAAAATAAGTAATGCACCAAAAATTTTCAGGTGAGTGCATGAAGTTTTTCTTCTACTATGTTTGAAAGGAAATGAAAAGTGAAGATAATCTTTGCTGACCACTGAAAATACACCAAAAAGATGTGCTCTATCTACTGTGTCTCTTTAATAAAACCTACGAGGTACTTTTCAAATGGTGATAGCAGAGAGAAAAAATATGCTATAGAGTGTGCTTACTAAAGCAAACTATGAAAACCTGCATACTAGAAAACAAGGTGCCAAATTATAGTGATAAAGCAAGTAGTAAGCAATAAATATTTATATTGATATTTGACAGTTCCAAAGTTGAAAATGCAATGTTTTATTTTAAATTTTCTTCTTTACATTCTATTGAAAAAATATTGCTCAATATAGGTCAAGTAAAAAGTGTATGCAGAGTGCTTTACCTACATTCATTCCAAAAATATTTATTAAGCGTCACTCGTGTGCTTGAGTACAAAGTGTATCATGCTGCTATTTATAGAAGTGTGTAGGGCAGAGTACTGATGCTGCGCTCCATCAGAGACAACGAGCACGTGTGCAGGTCACCACAATGTTGTATGTGTGTTGGATAAGACCCAATAGAGTGTGTAGAATATGATAAATGCCATGATACAAACTTCAAGGTTGGAGAAGTTCAAATTACAACTTCTATAGGGTAAAATTTCAAGGGCTAAGATGGCATTTTAGGGGACTTGAAGAAATGCTAGAATTAAGATGAGGGTGGTACAGGAAGGATATTGTGAAAATATATAATTATGCAAATTATTACTGTTTTGGTTTTTTGAGACAAGGTCTTACTATGCAGTTCAGACAGGCCTTGAATTCACTATGTAGCCTAGTCTGGCCTTGAATTCATGGCACTTCTGCCTCACCCTCCTGAGTAGTGAGTGGGATTATAGACATGTGCCACCATGCCCTGCTGAGAATTATGTAATTTTAATCATCATTATAGAAGGTAAGCACACAAATATAGGGATTTTGCTCATTTTATCCTTGATATTACCCCAAATCCTTCATGGAGTTCCTGGCTTATGTACATATTTGTAGGCATCAGTAAATATTTGTTCAGTGAAACACATTATATATGGAGCTTACTATGTGCCAGGCACTATTATAAACACTTTGCATTTTAATTTTGCCAGCCTTTTGTTGTTGTTGTTGTTGTTGTTTAACCAGAGATCAAACTCATGACCTCACGCTTGCCAGGCAGGCACTTATGCTGCTGAGTTAAATCCCCTGCCTTGCCTGCACTGTTATATAACAGTTTTCACTGTAATTTTGCCTATACTCTGAGGGTTCTTATTCCCATATGACAAATGAAGAAACGAAGGCACAGAAATTTAAGAAGCTGCTCTACAGAAAATGACCAGGATTCAAATTTAACTACCTAGCTCCAGAGTTCATACTTTTTTTTTTTTGAACTGGGGATCAAACTCCTAACCTCACACTTGCCAGGCAGGCACATGTGCCACTGAGCTAAGTCCCCAGCCCCAGAGTCCATACTCTCAAGCACTAAGCTGATACAGAAAGCTTTACTCTCAAGCACTAAGCTAATACAGAAAGCTAATATAAGATATGGAAAAGCTTTAAAAAGTACATACTTAGGGTCTAAACTATAAAGCTTTTGAAGCTAGGCAGGGTGCTGCAGGTCTGTAATCCCAGCACTTTGGGAGTCCAAGGCAGGAGGATCTCTGAGAGTTCAAGGTCAGTCTAAAGTGCATAGTGAAACACTGTCTCAAAAAGAAGACATAAATAAATAAAGAAATAAAAGCTTTTGAATAGCAAGAAGTGTAGATTTATTCTAAAGATAAAACTGTTAGGGATTTTTTTTTTTTGTCAAGGAGGAGTCATGAGCAGAGCTGTTTAGGGGAAATCCTCTGGCAGCATCAAGCAGGTCAGAGAGCAGGGAGAGACTGGGGCACCAGTGAAGATGTGATTAAGGTTGTGCAGGTGAGCAGTTGGAGGTGATAATGGGCATCCATGATGGCGAACCCTTTGGAGTTGTCAGTGATAGAAACAGCCTACTGTGGCACGTGTGCCATGGGGTCACCACGACTGGAACAGAGGAATGTGCTTCTGGAGGTAAGAACAGAAAAAATCTAATCACTGGTTTCAAGTTTGGGGAAGTAAGTTAATGAAGAGATGATTCAAAGTCTTCAGTCTTGGCTGTTTGAAAAACGTTAAATGATTAATAAGAAAGTCAGAAAAGTGGATTGTGTGGAGGAGCTGATGAGTGTAGACGTGTTTGAGATGTCACAGGAGTACAGTACTGAGGAAGCCATGTCTTGTTAGTATTTGAAAGTTCAGGTTAGGAGTTGACAAGATACCAGTTAGACGCACTTGGAGATCATTTGTATAAATGATCTTTAAGAGCAGATGAACAGGATTATCAAGAAAAGGCATGCCAAGAAAAGAGGACAGGGTGTTGGGGTGTTTGGAGGGAAAGCCATGAATGAAATGAAAGGAAGAGTTAGCTGCAGAGAAGAAATGGGAGTGCAGCATCCCACAAACCACGGAGGAGAATCAAGAAGAAAGGATCATCAACTGTCAAATGCAAAGGAAATATATTTCTTTACAAGTTAATCAGTTATGAGTGATGAGTACAATTTCAAAAAATCAGATTGAAAATTATTTTTAAAAATTGCAAAACACACAGAATGTGATTTCTTTGGAACTTAACATAAAAGAAAAAAATACAAGATGGTAGATTAAACTGATAGCAAGATGGAATGAAAATTTTTGTGTTTTTTTTAAATTTTATTTAAAGATTTATGTGTGGTTTTGAAAAGCGAAACAATGCTAAATATATGAAACAGGTAATACCAAGGTACCTAAGTAGAGAAAGAATTTAAGAAGCTGAATTTAAGGGCGGTGGTTAATCTGAAAATGAAAAGGACGTTTTTCTTTGTGAGTTGTAGAAGGGAAAATACATGAACACATTTGGAATGGATACAAGGGAAATTTGAAAGTTAAGGATTAATTAAATGGTTCTACTTTGTCACAGTTATTATCACTTAATCTATTTCCATTTATTTGACCACAGTTGTTTTAATAATTAAGCATATATAGCATGTTACATTTTACAAGTTTTTCTGTCTTATTAGGTATACTTGAAAAACTGTAGAAGAAAAACTCTTCAGATTCTTACAGCTGGGTAAAAATTAACTAGATTTTGGGCTCTGTGTTTTGATTGTTTCCGGCCATATCATACAATGAATAAAGGAACATAAGCAGATTGTGATAGCAAAGTAAATGTTATTAAATGGTGCATGTTATAGCAGTAGATCTTTCACTGCTTTTATTTTTTAAATAATTTGCTAAGAAAACTTTGTAGATCTAGCCGATTATCAACTCAACCACCATAAAACCCTAGCAAGGTAAGTCATTATTCCTATTTATAGAAAATGGTGATTTATGTAAGCACAAACTCCAAAGCAAATTAACTGTGTATTTTGTTATCCTAATTATGGGTCTGAGTTACTGCATTATATCTATTTAGCATGTTTATAACAAATATTATACTTGATTCTCTGATACAGTTATATTGTTACAGAGTTTATTGATAACTTGGCCTAAAACCAAAAGAGTAAAGAATCAGTTGATTCTTTTTTTTTTTTTTTTTTTTTTTTGATGCACAGTTACCAACAGTTCTTGTGTGGTCTTTGGTAATAATGTATTCAACTAGTAGGCACTGAGAATACAGTGATGAACGAAGCAAAGTTTCTGATATCCAAGTAGAGAAAGTAAACTGTGAGAAACAAAAATATATATATATTTTTAAATACAAGATAGGAAAAGTCTATGAAGAAAAGCCATTAATATGTTAGACAGTGAGTGAAAATCTAAATCAGAGTCAGTTGTGGTAGGGTCCAGACTTTTTCTTAAAGATGAAAATCAAGCCAATTGTTTCAAAAGAGAGATTTTAATATAGGAATAAGTTAAACAGATTTTGGGGGCCTGGAAAAGCACAAGGGAAAAACTGAGATGTTAGGGATGATAACTAGAGGAAGCAACTGTCACAGCTCAGGCAGAGGGACTGGGAGAAGGGATTAAGGTGATTGGACCTAAAACCTCAGAGCAGACAGTTTGGGGATGGGGCTTAAGATATCTGCTCAGCTGATGATTTTGAGAATTTTAAAAAATTTCAGGCTTTTACCGTTTGCTGTTGCCAGGTAACACTGACAGAAACAAGGCTGCTGCTTCCCAAGCTCCAACTAGTCTAATACAACCTATCGTTGAACCTGACAGAAAGCCAGCTGGGGAAAGAAATGCAATTACAGCCTCAGCTCCACAATGCAGCATCTGCAAATGGTGGGCTTGGAGCTGAGAGATCATCATTAATCAAGAATTAAGAAAGAGCTCTCTGAACAGGTGACGTTTGAGCTGGGTTGTGAAAAATAAAAATAAACCCTGCATGTGAAGAGTTGGAAGATGATTTCAGACAGAGTAAAGGATTTAAAGAATGCAATAACAGCAAAAAGACAAAAGTATTATGAGAGGTGAGTAGTGAGCCAGAACATAGCTGGAGATAGATGGAGTCAAACTGTTCACCAGAACATAGGCTTTTGAGTGTAAGTACATGCCTACACCTTATGACAGATTCTGGGAGCACTGAGAGAAGTCGATCATTTACTAAATGCCAGATGAAAGGTACCATGCTAAACTAGGGTTCCTGCAGACAAGCAACTCATTCTCTGCCTCCCACACCTGCTCCTCTGCCTATATTTTGTTTCCTGCTTAATGGCATCATCGTTTATCCAGTTTCTCAAACCAGAAATTCCTGAGTCATCTTTCTGACTCCCCACATGCAGTGAGTTCCATGTTAATCCCCTCCTTCCCAGTCTTGCTGCACTGCCTTGGTCTCTATCTCCAGAATGTTCTCACCAAATCTGTCCTTTACACTGTAACCTGTGTGAAGGATCCAGAGCATAAATCAACTTTTGTAAAACTACTAGAACACCTCTGCAACAGTAAGGTAAAGTACCCAGTTATGTTATTCAAAGTCCTCCACAATCTAGTGCCTTCCTCCCCAACTCCATTTTCTCTCCCTTCCCATTTTATATATAAGCAAACCATTTGCAATTACTCCCTCAAACCTTGTTACAGAATGCCACTGTGCTTTTGTTTAGGCTGATTAATCCTTCAAGATTTAGCCTGAAGGCTAGGGATGTAGCTCAGTGGTAGAGCTTGTTCAGGAGGTACCACCAAAAAAAAAAAAAAAAAAAAAAAAAAGTTCGTGTAAGTATTACCCTCTCCAGCAAGCCTTCCTTACATCCCCAAACTGGACAAAGTGCTCCCACCACCAGGGTTCCCAGAGTTCTCTGGGTATCCCCTATGTTACTAGTAAACCACATTAAAATAATTTGCTTACATACTTTACTTCCTCCCCTGCTTACAGAGGCTGTTCTCTGAGGACAGAGGCTGTTCATCTTTACTGCCCAGCATGGATAACGGATACTCCTTACTCAACTGACCAGTAGAATTGACCTTGCATAGCACTCATCAGGGAGCCAGAGACAGAACATGGAGGAAACCTTTATATCCCAAGCTTTTAACAGGCAGTTGAAAGTACCCTACACAGCATGAACAAGCAGACCCATCTCATGAGCAGCAAAGAAAGCATGGCTTATTAGGAATCTCAATGATAAATACTTTAAGTGAACTTACAGCAGTATCTCCAAATGAAGTCACAAATATGACTTTATGTTTTATTGCTGTTAAAGAGCATTCATATTGTAAAGGCAAATATTTACACCATAATTTTTATTTCCCTATTTTGGTATTTCCATACTTTTTAATGTATCAGTATGAAGTAATACCAAAGGACTTAATCAAGATTCTTCAGAAATAATATCATCATGGCTAAAGAAAAGAAACCAGATTTACGCAAAAATGTTTCCTGTTCCTGGAGCAGGAAAAACAGGACCTAGAAAGTCGTAGTTAAGCAAGTGATAATTATGCAATAAATATGCTGGATAAAGAAGTGAAGACTAGAAACCTAGCCAGTGTTCTAGAGGTATGAGTGGGGGAAGAACTGTCCACCTGAAAGATGGTGCTCAGCATGAAATATGGGAAGCCCAACACTCAGGCAAAATTGCCCAGGGTGCCCTCAAGCCTATATAGGGAGAGGCTGCCTTTGTCTGTAGACTGAGCCAGTTGTGTGTGTTGAGCTCTCATAGAGTCTGTACCATTAAATACCAGAGCTAGTTATGCCTCAGGCCCTGGACTCTGCTTCTGGGAAACTGTCCTGATGCATATCCTGTGGGAGTGCCTGTTATCAACTCCTGACAGCCACACACAGTCCCAAAAAGCAGTTACAGTTCTTGTCATAGGAAGACTTATCACTTGGATAGTCCATGTTGGTTCTAAGAAACTGAAATATTGTCTAGGCCCTGCCAAAATCTAGCACTCAGATAGAATACAGTGGCCCAAATGAAGTGACTTCACTAAGGTAATGCTTGCCTTCAGGCCGAGGAGTCAGCTAGTACCTCCCGTGTGATTCCGCCTTCACAAGCAGGCAGTGAGGTAGCTGCACAGGTGGGCATCTGCATCATTTGACTAAAACATAAAAGTGAAAATGATGGGGGATGGAGAATCTCCTAAACACACAGAAAGGTGAGGACAAATAACCTAATCACATATTCTCTAGACAGAAGGACACTTTCAGAAAAAATGTCATGTGTTTATTTGTATTTGTTCATCCATCCGGTCAGTTCCGGAGTGCCCGTTTACCATGTGTCCAGATCCAAAGATGAAAGAGTCAAGCTGTGTATCAGAACCCTCAGTTCTTCCTGTGAGCAGTTGCCCTCTAAGAATGCTAAATTCTCTTGAAGCCTTTCTTCAGAGATGTCTCTGAAATTAGATACAGTCTGCCTGAATGATACATTACCAACTAAATGATAAATGATGTATTTTCAACCTTCACAGCATGGTATCTTTTCCATAGTCATATTACTGCTAGGCTGACATTTCTCCCCAAGGACACCCTAAATCTTCACAGGCCACCAGAACCACCCACGAGCTATCTGGACTCCAGGAATGCTGCCCACAGCCATCGCAGTAGAATCCTCTGAACCACCTCTGCCCTGTGCTCTCTTACTTCAAAAGTCTACCTATGTCAACACATTATGATGCAGGAACAACAGAACAATGCCCTGGGCACCCTGGCCTGCACTTTTACCAAGTGGTTAGCTGCCTGCCTGCCCAGGAGACATGAAAACCTTCTGCTAAGGACATGTGAGAAGAGTAGAAACGTGCTCATTGTCCTGGTCGACATCCAGGAGGTTTCCAGAGATCTATTGCAGCCTCATTTCTGTGTAAGTGTCTGCCTGTTACTGGTTACTGAACCCGAATGTGAACCTGAGGGAGAAGGAACTGGACAGTTAGTTGCTTTAATACTGATCCTGTAAGAGCAGAATGTCTCTTTCTGGCTTTCATTTTTCCTTCTTGTTTCGCTGCATCTACCCCAACATGAACAATCAGGAAACTCAGAGATTTACTATAACCTGGTGGCTAAATTTTTCTTAGACATAATCTTTTGACAATTTGAATTTTAAATAAAAGCATGCTTTCAGGATTACTTTTAAATTCTCATTTTTCAAACAACTGCACTAATTTTCTTCCATTAGTAACTGAGAATTTGGAAGTCCATCTTTTTTTTTCCATATTGGAATTTGAACCCAGAATCTTTGCACTGTTACATCCCCAGCCCCTTTTTATTTTTTATTTTGAGACAAGTTCTCACGAAGTTGTCTAGGCTACACTGAAATTTATGATCCTCCTACCTCAGTCTCCCCAAGTGTTGGGTTTACAAGTATGTGCCACCACCTGTTTTGATGACCGTGATTTTTAATTACCCAAATGGGAAAGATCCGTAACCCAGGATCTGCTGGTCACAGCTGGAAAGCTGGGGGAGGCGGCTGCCATTGTGAAGAGAAAGGAGGCTGCAACAGTCAACTTCAAAGATGCAACCAGAATTGCAACCTAGAATCATGATGGGCTAATCTTAAAATGTATTTATTAGTGTGTTAAGAATCTTCTCAGAAGAAAATCCTGTGTGTAAAATCGAATGCTTCAGGGCTGAGGATTTAGTTTAGTGGCATAAGCGCCTGCCTGGCAAGCACAAGATTGTGAGTTCAATCCCTGCTACCAAAAACAAAAACAAAAAATCCTGTGCTTCAAAATGCTTTGAAGAATTAACCTGAAACACCACGAATTACAGAAAACAGCTTTATTGAGTGACAGATAAGCGTCATCACTTAAGAGCAGTTATGTAATCACAAATACAATAAAAAGAAAAAGACCAAGAGAATCTAGGTGGTGGGTGGATGAGTATTCACTATAGAATTCTTTCAGTTTTGTCATAGGTTTGAAAGGCTCCAGGGAACTCTAAGTAGCTAACATTCAGAGACCATTTTAGAGGTATAAACATCCCTCTAAATCAGGCAGCCAGGAACCCAGTCAGAATACCTTTTTGCTGCCTCCTCAGGTACCACCCCCTTCTTCTCAGTTTTCAAGCTTTCACATATCCAAAATATTCCAGACAATTGCATTTATTCCTGGAAAAAAAAAAAACACCTTAGCAGCAGCATGCATGAGCACCCACACTGTTCTCAGCCCTGACAATGTGGCATGGTCATCCCTGAAAGAGTGGCAAGCTGGAGAAGCCCTCGGGCAGTCTGGACGCTGCGAGAAAGGGACGTCAGCTCCACTCCTGACTGCTGTGCACATGCTGCTTTTCTGTGCTTGATTTCCCAGTTTGTGCCTGACAGTGATTTCTGGTCTGTAAACAGATTTGATATAGGATCCCGCTACCTTTTCTTTTAGTAAAAGTAACCAACAATGTGTTTTTCAGATGAAAATTACAACTATAATTCTGCAGAAAGGTACAGCCTGATATAACTGCCTGTTAATGTTCAACTGAAACTGAAAAAAACAAAGAAAATGATTGAGGGGGAGGAAAAGCACTTAAAGGAAATAGCAGCCAGGCCTGGTGGTGCACACTTGTAATTCCAGAACTCTGAGACACTGAGGTAGGAAGATGGTGCATTCAAGTCCGGCCTGGACAATTTACCACTTAGTGAGATGCTGTCTTAAAAAAAAGGAACTGAGAAGACAGCTTAGTGCAAAGGCCCTGGGTTCAATTCTGGGCATCACCAAAAAAAAGAAAGAAAAAAGAAAAACACAAAGAAGTAAAGCATCTGCTAGTGGTAGAGGATTAAATCCTCCAATAGGATTAAAACTTTCCCAGGCCATCTTTGCTCTGCAGCACAGCTAAAACCCTTATCTACACTATATGCTCTGTGTCTTGCTTACTTGATTTAATGTGAACCTACCAAAGAACATAAATATGTACTAGAAAAATCTAAACTGTGATTGGGAAAATTAGTATATAACCCTGAAATAACAAATTATAATGAAAGATTGTATGAATCTATGAAATGAAGCCAGTTCTGTGTCCCTAAAGTGGCCTATAGAAACCATGCTGGGTTTCTCTGTGTTAATTCACACATTCATTCAACACATATGTATTGTCATTTAATTAAATTGGCCCTTATATAATTAATCTTTTAATACTGAACTTTACTTTTTATTTACAATGTTGTATTGTAGAACTCTAGTACACATATATTAACAAAGCATGATAGTAGAACTTTCCTAAAGAATTTGTGTAAGATTTTTACTGTTTGAAATATTTATATTTAGGGCTGAGAATTTAGCTCAGCAGCATAAGCACCTGTCTGGCAAGTGCGAGGTCATGTGTTTGATCCCTGGCACCAAAATATAAAATAAAATATTTGTATTTAATCTGTAAATATTCAGGTTAGTAGTATAAGTAACATTGTTGCAAGTTTCACCAGCAACATCTCTCTGCTCTAACCACTCTTGATTAAAGGCTATGGGGTCATCATTCTCATGTGGAATGACCACAAGGTGATGCAAGGTAGCTGTACACGCACTGTTCATGTTTTTCATTTATCCTTATTAAAAGTGTATCCATAGATAGCAATAAAAACATTTTAAATTGGGCAATACTGATGGTTGCAAAGTCACTGAAATTTGTACCCTTTAAGTAAGCTGGCTGGTCTGTAAGTTATTTCTCAATAAAACTATTTTAAAAACTAATCTAAGTCAGTCCCAGTGATGTCACCTGTAGTCCCAGCATTCAAAAGGTTGAAACTGGAGCTCACTTGAGTCCAGGAGTTTGAGAACAGCCAGGGCAGAGAACCCATCTTTAAAAAAAAAAGATTTAAAGATAAAAGAATTAGCAATCCCAACAGTTGGGAGGCTGAGGCAGAAGGATTAGCATGAGTTTGAGGCCAGCCTGGACTACATAGTAAGAACTTGTCATGATAGATGATAGATGATCCATCGATGGATAGATAACAAAACTATCTGCAATATTCCAGTCCATACAAAATAAAATTATGTTGAACCATCAAAATTAATAACTGTAGAAAGACTACTTACTGGGTAGGAGAGTGAGGGCTGAGCTGACTTATGCACTAAAAAAAGCAAAGCCAAGTACAAGTAATCGAGAGCCCTGGATCTATCTACTTCTTTTTAAAAGAAAATAATTTGTCAAACTTCAGTTTAATCACAAAGTACAATTAATTTTGGCATGTCTTACAAGAGGTTATGTTGTTCCAAATGGCTTCATGCCATGACTGCTAACTAGTGCTTTAAATGATATTTAATGTTCTGGAAAAATATTAATATATAGTAATTAAGTGAAAAGTCTATTTGTAAAACTCAAAAGATCAAAATTTCAATACTGTCACTAGATATTAAAAGTGAAATTACTATGTAGTTAATTTAATGGCTTAATTGTGAACCACTGACAAATTATGCAGGGTATGCGTGTGTGTGTGTTTGTGACCAAATTGGTTCCACAGAACCACTCATCTGAAGAAGAGTGCAGTCTTGACGAATTAATCAGGATACTTGGTGCGATTGGGAGGGTACTGTGTGTAGATAATATCAAATCAGTAATAACACAGTCAAAATTCAATGCATACCTAATCCAAGAGGGCCAAGATAACATCAGGACAAAATTATAGAAACGAAAAACATCACATCAGAGATCATGAGAGAGCCTGTTACCTTTTCTGCTCCTTAGATGACTCATCTTTGTTCCAAGTTCAAAAACAAGAAGGCAAAACCCACTCACGGCTACAAATTCTCTAAATTCTACCTGTTTCCCTCATCATCATCTTTGTGTCCTGATTCCACAGCTACCCTGGGAGATCTTCTGCTAACTTTTCTCTGGAGAGATTGTTCTTAAATCCAGGGAGCTCTGGAGGGAAAATAAATGCCTTCACTGAGAAAAGAGACACCCTAGTTCTAGTGGCCATGTGCACCAACTAATTAGCAAGTGTCTCTAAACAGTAGGCACAACTTCCAACAAGGGGGCGGTTTCATTCCCCTGAGTGGTTTTTTTAGTAGGCACTGTATCATCCACCTCTGGATGAATGAGTTAACTACTACATTTTCCCAAATCTAAAATCCAGCTGGGCTTGGTGGCACACACCTGTGATCCCAGCACGAGGGAGACTAAGGCAGGAAGACTGGCACAAGTTCAAGGCCAGCCTGGGCCACGTAGTGAACTCAAAACCAGTCTGAACTGCATAGCAAGACCTTGTCTCAAACAAAAAACAAAAGCTAAGCTCCATCATTAATAGGCTGTACTATTATTTTATGGGCCACTAAGAAAGAAAAAAAGCTGCTAATTATATAAAGCAATGCTTTCTTATTACTTATAGTTTTCTCACACAATATTCTTTAGTCCATCATCTTCTGCACATTTCTTAAAGGAATACTTCGCCTCCTTCTTCCAAGCTTCTGACATGTGTTCTGCTAGTTTTGCACTGAGATTTTCTCAATCTTAATATGTGTCAACATAAAATTTCAGATAACCACAGAACACATTTTAAACAGCATTTAAACACAACTCGGGTAAAAATCTGGGTCACTTCCTGTGCTACATTCATCAAATACCTTCTGTGTCTGAGAAGCCTAGCATTTCACTGTGGGCAGTTTCAGGTCAATGACAAGCAGTGGACTCTGGTTCCATCCACAGAAGATCATGATCATCAGCAGTGGCTGATATGTGTTCAAATGTGGACAGCAGACCCCTCTGACTATCTTTGCCCACCTAACAGGAAAGTAGAAATAAAGTATAGAACTGCAATTAGCTTCCTTTATATAATACTTTATTTCCTATTTTTGTTTCTTTCACAAAGGTTTCATCATGAAAAGGAGGAAGCACAAACTGAAGTGAGTTGCAAACCTTGTCTCTAACAGAGAACAGTGGCTGGGCTTGAGGTAAGATGTGATAGACCTTACAGATGAGCTTGTGTGCACACCCTCTCGTCTTTTAGTTTCTTTCTCTCCTTTCCTCTCTTATTTACTTCACTTTCCACGCCATGTTTTTCTCTTCCTCTCTTGGAGACTCAGTATACAAAGACGCCATCTATAGTGATCAGCTTTTCTGTATACCCAGAGAGAACTGTGAACTGATGAGACTCTGAGCTGAGAGGGGCACAAGGATAAGGAACCCAAGGCCTTGCCCACCGTGGCCCTGAGCTGTGTGATGTTAGGGTAGTTACTTTCCTCTCTAACCCAATGGGGTCTCTTCATGGCGTTTTGCAAATTGAATCAGACAGTCCATGAAAGCCTTCTTTGCCTGCCACTTAATAAGTGCAAAAAGAACATTGTTGAATATTCTCTCATCCTTTCTGTTTTAGATGATGTTGTTTGTTGTATCTCTCCTTTTTTCCTCAAATGCTTTTTTGTTTGGTGTTTTGTTTTCTCTCAATTTGGCTCCTATATTTTATTTTCTTTGCTTTCTTGCTTTTCTTGAGACATTTTACTTTCCCACTGTGCAAGCATAAGACATAGTAAAGGGAGCCGCTGAGCGGCCACCAGTGGGAGGTCTGATGGATATAACTGTGTTTGGAGTCAGATTCCCATGGTTGGCTGTGCCCAGAGCCGTGTGTTCACATGTCAGGAATGGAGGATTCTGCTCCTTACAGACACAGCTGGGCTACAACACGAGCTGCTCACCACCTACCCATTTGCTCACCTAGGAAGAAAAGGAGTCTCTGAGAAAGGATTGAAGTGAGACTAAATGTGTGCATATACATATCCATACACACTCGCTCATGCACATACACACATATTTGATCTACTGGTGCCAGTTAAGTACCCTTTAACTGGTGTATAGTTTGTGAAAGAGATGAGAAATATTTTATTATTTTGTTGTTATTGTGGTAAAATCCACATAAAAGTGGCTACCTTAACTATTTTTAAATGCATAGTTCAGTGATATTAGATTCATCATGTTGTTGTGACCATCACCATCCAGCTCCAGAACATTTTTCATCTTGTAAAAGTGAAACTGTACTCATTAAACACTAACTCCCTGTTCTCTCACCCCGTAACCCTAACAACCAGCATTCTACTTGTCTCTGGGATTTGATTAATCTAGGTAGCTCTATTATAGAATACGTGGCTTTTGTGACTGGCTTATTTCACTCAGCACAGTGGCCTCATCCATATTGTAGTATGTGTGAGAATTTCTTTCCTTCTGAGGCTCGTATTCCATCATATATATATATATATATATATATATATATATATATATCGTATTTTGTTTATCAGCATACATTTAGATTTATGCTAAATACTACTATGGACATGGGAGCACAAATGTCTTTTAAAGTTTTCAGTTTTTGAAATCTGTGTGCAGCAATAGAATTATTGGGTCATACAGCATTTCTGTATTTAAATTTTTGAGAAGCCATCATTGTTTTCCATACCAGCTGTACCATTCTGTCCAACAGTACATGAAAGTTTAAATTTCTCCACATCCCTGTCAACACTTGTTATGTTCTGTCTGTAGTTATAGGAGCAGGAGATAATTTTGGTTTGTTTTGCAGTAGCGGGCTTACACCAAGGGCTTTGTGCATGCTAGGCAAGCGCTCTACCACTAAACTACCTCTCCAGCCCCGTTTTGTTTTTGTTTTATTGAGACAAGATTCCACTATCTACTTCAAGCTAGTTTTGAACTACCAGTTGCTAAGACTACAGGCATGCTACCTGGCTTTGTGTTTCGGCTTAGTTTTAAATAGTTCCCAACCTTATGAATGTGAAGTAATATGTCATTGTAGCTATGATTTGCAGTTCTCTAATGATTAGTGATATCTATATTTTTCACATAATTATTGACCTTTTTAAAAAATTAGCCTTTTAAAAAGAAATGTCTATTTAATTGGGAAGGCAGACTTTTATATTTACTGAAACCTTAGTATTAACTTCTTAGAATTAGTATTTTTGGCAGATGAAAAGTGAAATCCAATGTCATAGAGTCAATGTCTATTGAAGCAGTTTTGAGAGACAGAGGAGAGAGAGAGAGAGAGAGAGAGAGAGAGAGAGAGAGAGAGAGAGAGATACTTAGATAGTGGGATAGGACCTGTTATTGATTAGGTCGATATCCATAGTTTACCTCCCAGCCAAGAGCCAAGGTTTAGTCATGAGTTAATTGTGTGGAAGAAGTGTTCTCAGTTTAGTATAGTTTTGACATCCTTCTTACATAAAAAAGAATTTGAGAAACCTGCAAAGTAGTACTGTATACCACGGAATATAGAAAGTAACGGTTCAGAGGAGGGGTCGCATGTACTGGGAAGTCTGCCAGCGAGCCCTTTCCTAAGCTCCGACTGAATCTCACTGCGTTCTAGCCACATAGCTCCATCACTCTGTATTGCAAGTGTCTGTTTTCCCGTCTATATCATCCCAACTTCTTTTCTCCACAATGTCACCTCGAGAGTGAAAGCTCTATGAGGACATGGACCTTATCAGTCCTGTTTAGATGTATCTAGGTATTAATAAAATTTGCTGAATTGGTTAATAAATGAAATTTAACTATTACATTTTATCATATTCATTCTTTCAGTTTTCTGATGTTTTTGTATAAGTACAATGAAGAAGAACAAAGGGAAGTCAGTTGACACGCGTGGTCCAGGACATCTTCAAAATATGTTGGATGAAGGAGAATATGCCCCTTTTCTGTCTGCTCCCATGTTAGAGAGCAATTTTATTCAGGTAACTACTTTAGCATCAAAGAAAATTGCAATAACTTTAGTATTTAATTTTCTCAAGACGACTGAAAAGGCTGGGAGGAGAATTGTTTTAAATGTGGCAAGGGAATCTGTGGTATCATTGAAGGCAACAGTTCTGGAATTTTAAACAACCTGGAATACTTACAGTGCTAAAAGGACATCCATTTCAAATGCTCCATACAAACTCTTAGGCAGGGATTCTGTCCTAATTCTACCACAATTGTCATTCTACCATAACCTTCCCAAAGTCACATGAAGTGATTTTTAGAACATCCTGTCACAGGGAAGCATTCAGATGACTTCTTTCTAGAAGAAATTTTAAGAAAAAAAAAGTGTGTAACAGATTCGGAATTAAAATGATTCTTAATTCTCTTCCAAAAAAATAAGTAATAAGAACTAAGGAGTAATAAAACCCAAAATGTGTAAATTTTGTTGTAAAAAAGAGAGGGAAAAAAGTGCTCTAAAGGATACAGCTGCAAGTGTGTTTAGGGGTGTTAAATAGCTGACCATATTAATGTTTTTGGTTGGATCATTGAACACAACTGTTTGCAGTCTCTCTGTTTGAATGTTCACTTTGTATGCTTTGATATTGTGACTTGAGCAACTATCTGTAAGATGATAATGTGTAATCTATTAACTGGTGATTTCTTACTGGTTTTTTTTTTTTTTTGTAGTTCTGTATTACTTGTACCCTTACACCACTTTGTTTTGTTTTTTCTCTTTTTCCTTTTATATAAAATTCTTTAAAAATGACTCTTAGCTCCAAAGGAAAAACATAATTGTCAGATAGTGTCAGAGAGAAAAGCTTTCTTCTCATAAGAATGTTCCTGCATCCTACATTTCAGTGCATGAAAGAAGTGCCAACTCTCCCCTAAACATACAACACTAAAACCTTCACACAAAGGATTAGGGAAATGCACTCAGTGGTATGGGCCATACTCTCACAATGTCTATACTAAACACTTAGCTATTATTACCTCTAAGTCCCACACAGCCAAGCGGACTCAGCCGATTCCACAGGAGTTACAAGAAAAATAACAGACACTTACCCAAAAGTAAGGAAGCTTCCTCTTTCATAAGTGGATTCTCTGTATTCACACCTGAGGGTTAGGTGACCTCCCCAGCCCAGTATATCACAGTCAGGAGGGGAACCTCCAGAAGCACGTCAGGTGATGCCCCAGAACACGTGTGACAAGTCACGATGTGATGTTCTTTGCCTTGTACCTACTTTCCTATGAATTTATTTTATTTTTAACCTTTCTTTCTATGCCATTTCCAAATCACCTTTTGCACACTCTAATTACATATACCTGCACTGCACTGGGGAGATTACAGTCGATAGACTAGACACAGACCTATGTCACAGTGTGATAAATCAGAGCCTTCAGAACGCACAGCCTCTCCTGATTCTGTATGTTTTTGGCTGCAAGTCACTGAGATTTCTGAGTGAATAGGCTTAAGTGAGAAAACAGACAGACAAAGTGATCTCAAATAGAGTGAAAGATTCAGGATGCCTGTGCACTCAGGGATTTAGGTTCTCTCTGTTATCACCCTGTAGCAAGACATCACATCTAAAAGAACAGTGACAGCTGCCAATAACACAAGAAAAAACTGTCTCATCCCGGTGTCCCTTGGTGAGGGGCCTGAGAAATACTTTCCAGAACCACCCACCAGCAGACCCTTATGTTGGACTCACTGGCCAGGCCTGGCGCACATGCCCCCTGCTGAAATCAGTCTGCCAAGGAGATGGAGTCACCTCCTCAGTTTTAATTGGAATTTAACCCCTCCCCACAGAGTCACCAGCCGTGAGGGGTAGATAATGAATAAACTCAAGACTCTGTTAATAAGAAGAGAGACGTGACTTTTGGATGGGCCACAGCCTCTTTCTGAAAATGTTTGCTTTTAAGTGGTTGCTATCTTCATTAAATAGGTTATCACACAGCTAAGAAATCAAAGTGTTGCTCCTCTCTGGCTTTCTTCAGATCTCCGACTACTCCTTTTCCAATCTTTTTTTGCTAATAGCAAAAACATTATTGCCGAAGAGTCTTGTTTTTTATACATGTGTGTCTCTACCCTCTCCTCTCCACCGAGCCAGGCTGTTCCCCATCCTTTAGGTCTCACTGAGAGTCCCTTCGTCAAGGGCTTCTCTGACCCCCACGTACGGGGGTGAACTGGAGTGGGCCTGCTGCTAGCTGTTTGGGATGTTTGTAAATCAATTGTTCAACATGGCCACTATTATTAGTATTATTTTAATTTGCAACAGCCAATTTCTCATTATTTGCCACAAACTCCTGGGATCAGTCAATCTTCTGGCCCAGCCTTCTGAGCACGTACCGCCATGTATGGCTTAACACAGCCAGTAATAAAAATTAAATTATATTGCCGGGTATACAGCTTAGTGGTAGACTGTGAGTGTTTGTTTTTTTGTTTTGTTTTGTTTTGTACCTGGGATCAAACTCATTACCTTGTACTTGCTGGGTAGGCACTTATGCCACTGAGCTAAAGCCCCAGCTAGATTATGTATTTTGCATTTGTGAGGCCTTGGTTCAAGCCCTAGTAGTACAAAAAACAAACAAAAAAACTAAATTATATAAGCTTACAATTAGGTTATATCCAAAACAAAGAAACTAAATATCAAAACTCAAAATTCTTTTATTATTATTATTGTTATTATTATTATTATTATTATGCTTTCCTTTTGCCTATCCTTTGATGCTATGGACAGAAGAGTTTAACAAAGAGGTATAGAATTATCACTTGTCTCTGTGAAATAAAGGGCCTGAAATATAGCTCAGTGGCACAAGCACCTCCTAGCAAGTGAGGGTCCTAAATTCAATTTCTGGCACCAAAAGGGAAAAAAATAGAAACTGAAGAAAGAATATATATAAAATATAAAGTGTGTGCTACTTATCCATTATGTTAGCAACATTTTAAATAAGCTTCTGTATAAATGTGTCTTTAAGAGTTATTAAAGGTTTACCAGCACATTGCTGGCTATATCCCTACCCTAAACTCAGTTGAATCCCTTGTTATACACTCCCACAGCATCCTGAACTTGTGCTTAGTAACACTTCATACAATAGCAATTAATTACTTAAATTGCTTGCCAACCTGGATACCCCCAAGTCCAGGACTATGTCTGCCCATGTGGTATCTCCAAAAATTAACATAAGCTAGTAGAGAGCGGATGCACCATGATCCATCTCTCCTTTATTTGCTGACCTCTCGTACCATGCCTCCAGTAAGCAAGGTTGTGAGGGCCATGCCTCTTATCAAAAACCTCCTCTCCTGTTCTCTGCACTCAGGTCAACAGGAGAGGAGAATCCATTTACGTTCATAACCGAGCCAACTGGGTGACTGTGGGCATCTGTTCTTCCAGTTCCACCCAAAAGACCCCCAATGTGATGCTGTTGGCACATCTGAAGCCCACCACACAAAAACATGAAGCGCAGTTGTTCGAAAATCTCCTGGCGTCTCCTACAGAGAAACTGGTGCTCACCAGGTGAGTTACAAAGGAAAGAGGTTAAGACTCCCAGCAAACATGCACCCTCCCTGGGGAAGCTGAAAAGGGAAACCCCATGACCCCTGCTCCAAAGCAGTATCTCACTTGCTCTCCCTGCTGCGAATGACCAAATTGTATCCTTGAAGTTGAGAAAAATGGTTTATGACAAAATCAATCAAACATATATTTGACTTGTAAAAACTAAAACTAAGTAACAAGAAATGAAGACTCATAATAGTACACTACTTCTCAAGAATATGCCTTCTCCCTCCCTCCAAAAGCCCAACTTCTATCAGAATTATCTCTGGTTTTGTCTCAGCCGCTAACTTGCTCTATGATGTTGATCAGATTCCTGAACCTCTCTAAGAGTCAGTTTTTCAGGATGAATTAAAGTGAACAATATCTTGTGGTAAATAGTTGGCACTCTGGTTTTTTAGTCCATCAAGAGTCTTGAGTACTCTTGGGAATCCCCACTGAGAGACAGATGTGTATAAGCCTGTTGTTCTCCTGCTATAAAATATAAAAAAGAAAGACCTTTTTACAGATCTCCGACCAGGTTCTTGATAATGTTACAATGGCATTTGTTTGCAGGTTTCTTCCTCTGCAGTTTGTGACTCTTTCTGTGCACGATGCTAAAAGCATGCGCCTCAAAGTGAAGCTGGTGAGTGGTAGAGCCTACTACTTGCAGCTTTGCGTCCCTGCGAATAAACAAGATGCCTTATTTTCTCAATGGATGGACCTCATCTCCCTCTTAAATGAGAAGAAAGCCAAAACTTCCAAAGTGTCAGAAGTATCAAGCCTTTCAGAAATCACAAACAGCACTGAAGTCACAAGTTCCATGGACATCATGGACATTACAGCTTTCACCAATGCACAGGCCACACACATGTACCTACCTGTACATGTCACAGAAAGCATGAATTTCTCAGAGTTCACGGATGCTACTGACATCACAGATGTCACAGATATTCCAGAAAATGAGGTCACAGAGTTCCCTGATATAAAAATCGTCACGGAAGTCACAGAAGTCATAGAAGCCACTGAAGTCAAAAGTATCTCTGATGCCACAAACTCCCCGGGGGTCACTGTGGTGTTCGAAAATGATGACATAATCAGGGCCAAGCAAGAGGAAAAGGTATGTGATACAAAATATTTAACTCCTTCATAATCAAGTTCTAGAACAACCCCCAGGTCCCAGTTCTGGAATGCACCCTGAGTAACCTTATGTCAACAATGAGATCTAATCCCTCAGCTTGACTGGAAGGAGTAGTATTCCCCTGAAACAGGCAGCCTTTTCCAGCAGATTTAACCCAGCATCTGAAAGCCATGATTCCCCAAAAATAAGACCTAACCAGAAAATAAGCACTGGTCATTACCATGGTGATTGGGGCTGGCATTTTTGATTTCTTGTTTTCAAGGCTGATTATTTTCCAGTGAAGTCTTATTTTCAGGGAACTTAGGAGTCAAAGGAGATCTGGTTTAAAGTCTTAAACTGCTGTGCATTAGTTGTGTGGCATTTGCTAAATCACACGAACCTTAAGCTTTTCACCTCTAAAAGAGGATATTAATATAATGTAAGCATTATTTTAAGTTTTAAGTATACATAGAATTACTAGTATCTTGCAGGATGGGTTGAAACTTCAGTGGTAAAACTGAGGGTGGAAATCACAAAATTAAAAAAAAAAATTTTTTTAAATCTGTTTTAGAAAAGACCAGGAAGTAGAAATACACAGTCCTGATTCAGGTGGGATGTTGCATAATATGGCGTGAAGAATATTAGAAGGCAGAGGTGGAGGGTTGCTTGAGTCCCAGATGTAGTAGGAGGGACTTTGCTCTTGGAAAAAACCTTAGTAATTAAGAGCTTCTATGTACTGGAACAAACGAACTGGTTTTTAAAACAATTAACAGAGATCAGTTGGAAGATGACCACTGAAAAGGTCTCCGTTAGAAAAAAAAAAAAAAAAAAAAAAAAAAAAACGGTGAGAATAGACATTCCACAGGAAAAAAACAAACAAAAACCAAAAACTCAAGTATTGCCCCAAAATGGTGGAGCAGAGTGTTTCCCCGCAGCTCAGCGTCCCCAAGACCGAGTGTGTAGAGCGTGCAAAACAATAGCTGGCCGGGAACCAAAGTGAGTGGAGGCCCGCGGGGAAGAGGAGGCTCGGACCCAGGAGAAGACAGCGGATTAGGTTACAGAACCAGCTCCGCGCGCGGAGGAGGGACCTGCAGCGCAGCCACAGCTCTGCCTCAGCCAGGGCGAGGCGAAATGAAACGGACCACTGTTTTGCTCACGGAGAACAGAGAGATGCATCAGGACTAAGAGAAGCCCTGCAGCTGAAACCGGCCGGGGAAATGCAGGGCACTTGTAGAGCGGCCTTCCGCGACGGACGGTGGTGAGTGACCGGGCGTAAGAGCCTGCAGCCGCAGCCGCGGAGCGAGAGCTGCAGGGACCGCGAGAGCTAGCAGGCCCCGGAGTGGAGGAGGTAAGGACAGGCGCGGGAGGCCGCCTGCCGGCCGGGAGACAGCCGGGGAGGCCCACCGGGGCGGGGGCTGCAGAACAGACCGGCTCCTGCGGGCAGACCGGGTCAGCCTCGGTTACCCAGCACTGCACACACGGCCTGTCCTCCCCGTAAGCAGAGCCCACACCCGGCACTGTGCGGCCCGACTGCCCCGTGCACGTCCAGCACGAACACAGACACATCCCGGCTGCAGAGCTGCTGCCTAACCCAAGGCTGAGGAAGGGAGCCGGGGTGCAAAGCCACAGAAACCTTTCAGAATTATTCTTTGTATTATTTTTTCATTCTGTTTTTATTTTACTTTTTTTGTTTTTCTATATTTTGCTGTTTTCCTCTTTCCATACATTTCCCCATTATTTTATTCTTTTTTCTTCTTTGAGTGTGTCTGTGTGCTTCTCTTCCTCCGGCCTTTTTTCCTCCTCATATAGTTTATAGAGGATAAGGAAAGTCTTTCTTGTCCTTTTATATCCCCTCAACTTTCATCTGTCTCTTACCCTGACCTCTTCCGTCTTACTCATTCTCAAATTTTTTTCTTGCTTCTTTCCCTTTTCTTTTTCTGTAATATTTAAGCAGTCACGGACTCTTTTCCTATCCTCATCTCCTGTCCTCGTTTCTACTAATTTTGTACCCAGTTTTCCCTGTTACCTCCTTCTAAATATGTAACATACTCTTCCCAGCATTAGGATCCTTTGCCCCCTCCCAGGTCCTCCTGCCTATACCACAGAGCAGAAGATCTTCAGCTTGTGGAAAGCCAATTTTTCCAACAATATTTATTAAAGAGGCTTTTTTTCCATGAACATGTTTAGCCCCTTTGTCAAATATAAGGTGGCTGAGTGTCTTTGTAGTAGTGTTTGCATCTTCTAATCTGTTCCATTCATCCTCAGGTCTATTTCTTTGCCAGTACCATGCTGATTTTATTACTATGGCTTTGTAGTATAGTTTCAAGTCAGGAAGTGAGATCCTCCTGTCTTACTTTTGTTGCCCAGAATCACGTTCGCTTTTCTAGGTTTCTTCTGTTTCCAGATAAATTTTAAGAATGTTTTTTCTAAATCTGTAAGGCATATTGATGATATTTTGATTGCGATTGCATTGAATCTGTATAACAGTTTTAGGAATATGGTCATTTTCACAATGTTCGTTCTTCTTAACCAAGAGCAAGGAATATCCTTCCATTTTCTAATACCCTCTTCAATCTCCTTTTTCAGAGTAGTATAATTTTCAGCATACAGATCTTTTACATTCTTGGTTAGGAACACTTCTCCACTGTTGGTAGGAGTGCATACTGGTATGACCACTGTGGAAATCAGTATGGAGATTCCTCAAAAAACTAGATTGGAAGTTCCATTCAATCCAGCTATTCCCTTCCTGGGTATTTTCCCAGAAAAATTGAAAACATCATGTCAAAGAGATATGTGTGTACTCATGTTTATAGCAGCACAATTTGTGATAGCTAAAGTTTGGAAACAACCAAAATGCCTCTCAACTGCAGAGTGGATAAAAAAAAAAATGTGTTTTTATGCAATGGAATACTACTCAGTTATAAAAAGGATGATCTTAAGGCCTTTCTAGGTAAATGGAGGCAACTTGAAAATATCCTCATTAATAAGCAACACTCACATGAGTAAATATCACATTGTCTCTCTAGTGTAAAAAATAATAAAAATTGACAGAATGAGATCCAAAAAGTATAATAGATACTGTGAAAGCAAAAGGGAAGGCAAGTGCTCTAAAGAGTATAACTGTATGTATAGTGTGTAAGATAGATGACCATATTATTGAATTTCTGTTCACACATTGAACAGAAAGATTTGCACTGTCAATGTTTGAGAGTCTAGCCCCTATTTATGCTTTGATTTTGTGACTGTGGCAGCTATTTTCTAAGATGACAATGAGTTATATATCAACTAGTGATTGTATGATGATAATTTTTTTGCATTCGGTATTGTTCTACCCTTTTCTGTTTTTCTATTTTCCTTAATTTTCCTTTCTTTATTTGAAAAAAAGAGAACAATGTGCAATATAACAACCATTGCTAAATTTCTTTCATTCTGTTTTGAAGCCCTGTATTGTTATTGAGTTTGCTGTTGCTGTTTATGCTTTTTGTTTTTCTTTTCTGACTTTTCTCTTTTAAATAAAACAAATAAATGAGAAAAGAGTTAGGTTGTTAAGATGCTTACACTATAACAGTGAATTTCTACTATAGGCTAAAAGGAGACCCAAATCAGGGTCTTATGGTGTGTTATCTCTTCGCTGGCCCTGATATTACTGTAATGAGTTGCCCTGTTGTTGCTGTAACTGATTTGATTTCATAGGAATAGTCCTGATCCAGTGGACAGTTTCATGCCAGTGAACCTGTCTGTTGAATCGATCACACCCAGGAGAAAAGACTGCATGGATCTAACCCAAGATCTCAGGCTGAATCAGGCTCTGCAAGGCCCTACAACCCGGCAGACAGAAGTCCCGAGTCTGATTGGCGGCAGTACTGCAGGGGGCGGGGTGAGAGCAGCTATTGGAGCGTGAGCGCTCAGACGGGCCAACAGCTACTCGGGACTCACATGCACAGTGTCTCACTGGAATATTTAATCCGTATTCCCATTGGACATCCCATAGGCTTAAGTGTTTGTGTTTCTTGATTTTTTAGTAATGTGGAGTTCTGTGCTTTTATAGTTTCTTGTGTTTTTTAGGTTGGTTTGTGTATTGGTTCTTTCACTGGCTCTGATTTAATTGGTGCCTAGGTTGTCTCTCTTGTCTCAGCTCCCCATCTATTTTCTTCACCTTCTCAACACAAACTATAAAGACCAAAAGAATTTGAAGTGAAGTATTTTAAACCCTAAAAGAAAATAACTTCTAACCAGATTCTTACCTAGCAAAACTGTCCTTCATAATAAATGGAAAAATGAGATATTTCTATGAAAAAGATCAGCTCAGAAGAGGTATGAGTGTTAGAAAAGTGAGACCATGTGAGAAAAGAAAGAACAAATCAGACTTTAGAGAAAATGGAGTCATAAGCAGCGAAGAAGGGGCCTCTCTGAGGTCTGGTGTCCAAAGGCTGGACTACGGCAAGATGAGGGAATAAAGGAGAAGGGAGATGGGTACCCAGACCCATGAGGGATCTGAAGCCAATATCGAACCCTGGAGAGGAAAGCAAAGAGATTTCAATGAAGAAGAAGGAGGTGGCAAGTGACACCTTCTTCCTGAGCCCTGACTCATTGCATGGGAGGAGTGGCTCGAACCACAGACACTCAGTGATTATTGGTGACCCCAGAGGCCTCCACAGAGAAACACACCAGTGGAATGGAGCAGGGAACACGGGCAGACTGTGGTGGCTGGTGAGTCCAATCCAGACATCCCTCAGGAGCGGGTGATTGGCAGATAGCTATCCTGGAGAGGGGCCAACTGAGCTCAGAATTCAGAGCGCTTCAGGCCAACTCCATCCAGTGGATATCACTGTGAGGGTGATGCTGCCAAGTTCGAGTCAGCATAAGGTCAGGGAGCCAAATTCAGGAGGTGCATGGAGTGTTACAGGCTGAACCAACTGGGTTCTAGCCTCACAGCCAGAAACCAGGCTGAACTTCAGTGGAACTAAAGGTATGGGCCTGCTGAGATTATCCACTGCCAC